CGGGAACCTCTAACACATGTAGACACGTTACGCACACTACAAGCATCAGGTGAACATATATTGAGCGCATACACATGCATCGCCACATACAAACATCAATGCAACCAGCACACTAACCCGATCACCACTCCCGAGCTTTGGTTTTGCTCTTTATGTTTATACAGCCTTGATGGAGATGCGCCTCAACGGGTAATCGGTCTCTTAGCTGTAGATGAGAAATTTAGCCAGTGCGGTACAACCGCTAACCTGGGATTTTTAACGTGCATCACGCAGTAGTGATCACACGAACGCGTGCCGGTACGAAACTCATCCAGATCGAAACGGGCGGGGGCGGCGGGGATCGAACCCAGGAGGTTCCCAGCGCAAGCTTTCGCTCCACGCTCCGAGCTGAGACGCGTTAGCCCACTCGGCCACTTCCTCCCCTCCACTCCCGAGCTCTTCGTTTCCGTCTTTTATACTGGTCGTTTTGAACGTACGGAATTTTTCGGTGACTCCCTAAGCAATAAAAAATATTCCGAGCATGTTCATTTTTTTCCAGCAATGTCATACATCTGAGACTATTTTTAATGGCTCAGGGGATGAATCTCTTTTTAAAAAGAAAACGCTCGATCATGCCGTAATTATTTGAAAGCCAATAAATCGAACCGCTCCAATGTGGTTCCAAGCCATGAGTTTGTTTTCCCGCACGGCCCTTCGTAGCCAGTATTTCTATTGTAGTGTTTGTTTTTCTATTTGTACTGTTCGCGCACGGCTGCAATTGCCGTCTTGAATTAATTTTTGTAGAGCGGATATTCACTCAGCTGGAAGTGATGCTTCACGGGAAGAGAAATCGTTTTTCGATCAACTTGAATGCAGTCAAAGCCGCGACTTGCGGCAGGTGTCAAGTGTACGGAGCTACGCCGTTGCGAGCTCGAAAACTTCTAGCGCTCATCCCAGCGCGCCACTTGGAGGGCAGTTTCTACAGAAGCCGTAGTATATTTAAACAGTAAAATAAAGGATAGCGATTTTTTTTTCGATTTTACCTGTTTTTTTTAATGCTAAACTTTCATACGTACTTTCCGTCATAATTTCGTACTGTTCAGTCTTTTCCCCAGAGCGCAATCGCTCCCGAGGACCGACAGTCACATTGGCCACTGTACGATAGGAGCTTGCCGTTCAGACCAGCGTTCCAACATGACTATCCACCAGAGGTCGGCATTTTAGGTCGCTCTCACTCACCCTTACCCTCACAGCCACACTCATCTAAGCCCCTCACTCACCCTCACGCTCACAGCTACAATAACCTTCAGCCCCTCACTCATCCTCACCCTCACAGTCACACTCACCTTCAGCCCTTCACTCACCCTCACCGCCCTCACGGCCCTCACGCTCCTCACGGCCCTCACCACCCTCACGGCCCTCACGCCCCTCACTCACTCATGGTCTTCACGCCATTCAGCGCCCTCACGCCACTCACCGCCCTCACGGCCCTCACCGCCCTCACGGCCCTCACCGCCCTCACGGCCCTCACGCACTCATAGCCCTCACGCCACTCACCGCCCTCACCGCCCTCACGGCCCTCACGCACTCATAGCCCTCACGCCACTCACCACTCTCACGATCCTCACCGCCCTCACGGCCCTCGCGCACTCATAGCCCTCTCGCCACTCACCGCCCTCACCGCCCTCATGGCCCTCACCGCCCTTACGGCCCTCACCGCCCTCACGGCCCTCAAGCCACTTACCGCCCTCACGCCACTCACCGCCCTCACGCCACTCACCGCCCTCACGCCACTCACCGCCCTCACACCCCTCACCGCCCTTGCGGCCCTCACACCCCTCACGCCCCTCACGCACTCATGGCCCTCACGCCACTCAGGCCAGCTTCAGATGGGGCGATTTCGCCCAGAAACTTTACGTCGCAACACCAGCAACACGGGCCACCCGCGATCACACGCAGCAACCAATTGCTGCAATTTGTCATCGTCATTATAAAATTTAATTTTTCTTGCACTATTTAGACACAATCACGCGTTATAAACGTGTTTTCATCTATTTAAGTCTCGTTAAGAATTCTAATGCACCTTTCTGAAACAGTTTATTTTAAAAAAAAAAAACGATTGATTTCAAACCAGAACCAAGTCTTTCGGTGTCATCATCACCGGCACGAGGTATCACGTGAAAATTTTGCGTCCCTGATTGTATGCAGCCGCTTCAAACGTATTCAAATTGCTCCGAGTTGCTTGCTTATTTCGAGCCGGACCCGATCTCAGCAATTCGTGTCGATCTAGGGAAAGCTAGAGAACCACCCGCCATTAACACCAAAATTGCTGAGAAAGATGCTCGATCTGAAGGCCGCCTCACGCACTCACCGCCCTCACGCACTCATGGCCCTCACACCACCTCATGCACTCACCGCCCTCACGGCCCTCACGGCCCTCACGCCTCTCATGTCACTGCCCTTACGCACTCATGGCCCTCACACCCCTCACGCACTCACCGCCGTCACACCAATCACGCACTCATGGCCCTCACGCCACTCACGCCCCTCATGCACTCATGGCCCTCATACCCCTTACCGCCCTCACCGCCCTCATGGCCCTCATGGCCCTCACGGCCCTCATTGCCCTCACGGCCCTCACGGCCCTCACGGCCCTCACGGCCCTCACGGCCCTCACGGCCCTCACCGCCCTCACGGCCCTCACCGCCCTCACAGCCCTCACGGCCCTCACTCATCCTCACTCACCCTCACTCATGAATTTTCCTGGTTCAGAAACTCACTCACCCTCACCTCACCTGTGAAGATGAGGGTGAGTGAGGGTGAGTGAGGGCCCTCATGAGTGAGGTTTGCCGAGGTATGCTATCGACACGTCGATCGACTGCACCGAATCCCCTGAAGTGTTCTTAAACTCTTCAATGTAAAGCGGAATGTCATCCTACGACACCCCGCCCCCTTCGATCACGGCCCGTCCAGCGGCATCAATGTCCGACAGTTTACGTCATCTCATCTTGTTGTTACACCACTGATACGCGAACACACGGTCACATCGGCGATAATTCTAGTCTTCTGTTCACAACCCACAACACTGCCATCACGATGTTGCGGACACACAGAAATACAGAAGCACGTTGACGATGTTGCTGACACGCAGAAATACAGAATCACGTTGAACGCCGGTTGGCACTCGGCACGGGACAACAGAACCGAACTCAGCACGGAAGGCACCCAGGCAGACGGCAGGAACACCTGCCTGCCTTGTATGCAGTTCCTGCGATTTCCATAACGTCGAAAACGTCGACACAATTCCTCGTGGTTTCGCTACTGTAGTTCCGCGTGTGTCCCGAAAATCGGATACGGCCGTCTTACCCAGTGTATGTATCGCTGTTGGCACTGCTCCGGAACTTTACTGTTTCTAGCGGCTTCGTTTGCTCCTTTAATAAAATTAGTGGTAAAAACGTAAATGCAACCGAAATGTTTTGCACGTTTGGACTAGAAGACGGAATTACAGGCGGCCTTCGCTGCCACTGAAGCTCAATCAATTCAACATTAATTTATTAAACAACGTGCGCGATGTGCCCGAAAAACGAAACCAAAAGAAGATGAGTCGGGAGGGCGAAAGCTTTCTCCCGTCTGCCTGGACAAGGAGGAAAACGTCTCGTTCCTCCCCTTTTCTCGTGTCCGCTTGGGAGCGCGTCAGTAGAAAAGAGTAAGACGCACCGTTGCTATCTTTTTCCTCCATTTTTTTCTTAGAGTGTTACCTTCAGGCCTACCCACTAATCATTCGAATCAGAGCTCTGCGTTCTGACGGCCTTGCGCGCTCTGGTCTCCCCCTCTCCCTCAGTTTCTCGGCGCGTTCAGATCGTTTCACCAAAGACTGCAATAAATTTAAATAGGGAACTAAAAATATGTATATATTCTTTAGAGATTTTATTATGGACTGCGGCGGACGCCAAGTTACAAGGGGGGGAGAGGGGTTAAAGTGAGAATTAACGACACGATTACATAAAATAGAAATATGCGGCTTAGCTGGCACATTCTAATTTAGAGATTCGTCACCTGCCGTAGAAATGTGTAAAATTTGTTTAAAAATATAGACACTAAATTCTCTGGGAAATTTATATATGCGGGGACAACTAAGATATCGAAAATAGGAAAGGAACTACGGAAGATTGAATCCGAAAACGACGTCAACCTCCGTCGCGGGCCCGGATAGCAAATTATAGCAAAATGGGTTTCGCAGCGACAAGTTATCTAAGGGCGACGGGGTCGCAGAAGAGGCGCCCACATTCTGATAACTCCTCGGGCGCTCAGACGTCGGGACTTTTTCCCTTTGGTTTAGGCATAATGTGGGTCCCCATGAGAGCCTAACTTCCCCGACTAAATAGCGCGGAAAAAAGTTTACCTTTCTCATTATTAGTAGTAGGTGCAACAACATATTTGATCGACGGAACACAAATATCCCTAATCCGTTTCATGTCAAGCCCGACCGCGCAGTCAATAACGATATTATCCGAATGAGCAAATCTAGCGGCGCCGAAAGGGCATCGTCGCGGCGTATACGTCGTTTCTCTGCTAACCGCCTAAACCAATCACAAATATAAAAAAAAGACTGGCTGATTGAAAAAAATAGTCAGTAGACCTCGAAGCATCCAGCATTGAGATCTACCCACTATTTGTTTTTCAGTCGGCCGATAAGAGCTCGGTGTCGTTCTGACGTCACGGCAACTCCTGTACAAGAAGCAGAGAACTTGCTCTCCGCGGCCGCGGAGCGCCAGTTCGTCTGCCTCTTGTGCAGGGGTTGCGGTGACGTCAGAATGCCGAGCTCTTGCTTTAATTAGAAGGATAGGGGGTGGACCTCGAGACAGCTGACTTTGAGGTCTACCCACTATCCTTGTAATCGAAGCCAATCGGAGCTCGGCGTTCTAATGTCACCGCAATCCCTGCGTGAAAAGAACAACTTGCGCTCCGTTTAGCCGGAGATGTCACCCCGTCACGCGTTTCTTACAATTGGCAACCTGCAGGTGTTTCCGCTGAGCGAGACCTGGTACGCGGCGTACAGGAACTACGAGGATGACCCAGTGTTCGGTACTTCCAAGTGCTTAAATTTCGCCGAGGCGCAGCCCGAAGAGGATGGTGGTTATCCGGTCGTGGCTCACTACGGACAAGAATCGCAGTCGCTGTAAGTGTAATCTGAAACGCATCGACGTCTGTGAACATTGTATGATCCCGGGGATTATGTAAACGTCGACCAATAGACCCTTTTTGAAACTCCGTCAAGCAACGTTGGCAGTGACCATTTTTTGGGGCACGAAGCGTGTGATTGGATCCGAGCATAGAGTTATTATAATGTACGCTAGAGGTTCAACTGGCGCTAGTGTGCTGTCGCAAATGGGAGCAGGCCGCATCCAGTCAAAAATTAACTTCCGGTAATGCATTTCTATAGGAAAAAAGATGGCGCATCGTCTCCCTGTGCTCAATTATAAGGGGAAATATCCGAATAATTCTTGCGTAGTAGGTATCTTGAAACATTTCTCAGTCAGGCTGACGAAATACTTGGTCAGTAACGGCGTTTTCTTTCAAATTAATTACGTTAAAAATGGTGCTAAAACGGCTTCTTGTTTATGTGCACTGTCAGACACTGTTAGTACGAACACGGCGACGGCGGTTTTCAGCATAGGGGATATAATTGCCAAACGAAGGAAGGACATCTGGAAAACCAAGAAAGACGGCAAGAACTGGGCAGTAACACTGGATTAGTAACTCCCTGTGCATGTACGATCAAAATTAATGGAAGGCCACGTAACATAGTTTCATTTTTATTAAGGAAGTACTGCTTTATTATTTCTGCTTTGTTCTACGTTGAAAACATCACCCGCACGCCCGACATATTTCAGAAAAGTGCCCGACAAAACCTGCCCGGCATAGAAACTAATAGAAAGAGCAACCTTTCACTGCACACGTACTTTATTCTTTAGGTTTTGAATGTTTTTAACCGCTCGTACAGATTAGCGACGGGGTTATTTTCCTATAGTGACAGAACAGTCACATCAGCACTACATAAGCGTCACTGGAATGCTGGCGAAATTTGAACACACCTAACATTTTTTCTAAAGCAATTACTCTTTTACCATGTCAATCTTTGTACATACTATTCGGTACAACCTAAATAACCAGAATGTTTCATGTTATTTTCCGGCGAAGAGAAAATGCACGCGCGCTTTTCCCATAGGAATACACAGGAGCAGCGCAAAAGTAGACTGGTTGCTGTCTGCTTCGATTTGCATCACGGAAGTCGCAGAGAAACTAGCACCAGTATAATCTCTAGCGTACACTATAATAATTCTATGGATCCGAGCCCCCTCATCCGATGCTGACGCAGCGCTGTTTTGCGATGCCAGCTGAGCCGAGTCCATTCGGAACGTTGACGCAGCCCTGGTGCCCAATATAGGCTCCGAATTCGTAGCCAAACAATGATGGTCACAAATAATTGCGCAGGAACTATTATATGGTGCCCGCGTTTAAAAACACACTACTCAGACCACGCACAAAAAAAAAAAAAAAGAATCGCACTGCGATAACAGTATTATCCAAACAAAAAAATTAGGATTGTGTTTTTTATACAGCTTAAGGTTCGTCTTCCTTTGAAGTGCGGCACACTGGTTCACGCTGTGGATGAGGAATTCAGCCATAGCAGTAGTACCACTGCTAGCCTGGGTTATTTCATGTGCATCACGCGGTAGTGATATACGACTGCAAGGCGGTACGATGCTCATCCAGATCGAAACGGGCGGGGGGGGTTTAGATTGAAAACAACGCTGCATAATTATTATCAAAGCTTATATGTCCCTCTGAAAACAAACAAAAAAAAAAAAAAATAAAAAAAAATATCCTTGAAAAGCTACACACTTGAAAAAATAAGACCGGTTTCAATAGTTTAAAGTATCATTAGCGTTATCTACAAAAATTGCCCATACTGGAGGAAGCTATAGAAATAATCTTATCCTAACCATTTTAACACATACTTTGTTTTGTCGCATATATTCGGAAGCTTTAGGTTGTTGAGATTTTGTTTCAACCAAAATGACCTTCTGCGCGCTGCCATCACTGTCGTTGGGGCATGGGGGACGCCATCTGGGCATAACTAGTAACTCTTCTGGTGGACATCAGACGCCACGCCTGAGCCCACAGCTCAGTGACTCGGTATTTTTCGCCCCGATGATAAGCATTGGATAGGTGTATTCACGTTTACAAGTTTGGACTCTGGGTGCCGCCATCTTGCTAAGTTGGGGTGCGCTTGGGCGCTGCCATTATCCGATTACGACGCTTTAGCAAAACAGCGTTATAGGATTATGACGCGCCCAAGGGCACCCCGTTGAGCAAGATGGCGGCGCGCTGAGGCCGTGCTTGTAAACGTGTTAGGCTGTCTAGAAACATCTCAGTGTTTATCTCCACCAATGGCGGTTTAATAATGGTGAGGGTATTTCGTCCGGCGGCTATGAGGAATTTTGAGATCACGTGACCGCATCCGTAAGGGGAAACGTTGCTAGCGTTCCAGCCGATTCCCCTCAGTAGACGTAAGCCTTGGCTATCGTTCTCTTTAGTACTCGCTTAACACAGCCTCTTCAGAGATAACTTTACATGCTGCCCTTCAAGCACATGATCGGAATTAATTCCCTTACACTTGAAACCTGATAACCTTCTTTCTGTGCGCAAAAATTGGGCTTGGAAAATCCATGCGAAGAGGAACTTATGACTACCGTTTGCCTGGAAAGCTAATTCGCGTGAACTATCTTGTGCTATGCTGTCAAAGCTGCTGGCGCAAGCTCATCGCTTCGTTTGGAGTCTCTTTCCCGCGAGACGCAAACGCTTTGCAAGCGCGCCAGATTACAGCCGTCATTGCTAACCTTGTCTTGTCTTACCGAGATGCCGAGCCACCGAAGCGGATGTTGACGAGCCTCCGCAAAAGCGTATGCTTAGGAGAAGGACAAGGTAGAATCTAGAATCGTAATAGCCTCTCCTGCTATGCTAATGATAAAGTACAATAGCCAGAATAAAAAAAGAAAAAAAGAAACTGCAGGCCGGTTATGGCGGCGCTCATGTACAGCTGCGGCAAAGCGTCTATACTCTGGAAGCTACGCTTGCTTTGACAAGGTATGAAAAAAAAAAAAAAAAGGAAAAGTGACACCGATGTTTTCTTAAAGGTTTTTTATTCACATGAAGCTGGTCATGCGATCAAAAAACCTCTCTTGTGGGGATATTGTAGCCGCCGGGAGAGCTAACCGCATCACCAGCAGGCCGCCCCTGGTGGGGGCACACTGCGCGCGCGCGCGCGCGCTAACTAGGTTCGCGCGAAGTGAAGCGACTACCAGTGCTGTGTCCGTTACCAAAAATAAGTAACGAAATAGCGTTACTTGTTAGCGTAGCAAAAAGCTAACGCGTTACAGAGCTTCGTTTCCCTTTTGCAAATGTAACGAAATACCGTTCTCGTTACTTGCCATGACTAACGGACGTTACTTTTACGTCAGTTTCTCGTTACTTTGTGTTTCACTGTAAGTATGTGACAGCTGTTAGTATATGACTATATAGTCGTAGCCACAAACGTCTCCACAAGATTGTCGAACACTTCTTGAGAAACCGGAGCTTGAAGCATACAGTCGATCTTCCGTTGATTCAGCAAAGGCCTATCGGGAATGTGGGTTGTACTCTCGGTCTTTCGTTTTCTTGAAACCACCTCGAACATTGATAGCTTCTGCGAATGGAGGGACTGTCGGAAACGATAAAAAAGTAGGACTGATGAGAACCACTACCGTTAATTTCTTGTGGTACAACGAAATATTGACTAAACTGCATCACGAATTAGTCCAGAAAGAACTTTTTTAAGTAAATCGCAAACTTAAACAATTATCAAATAGGCGTGTTTATATATAACTGTAATGCTTGATTTACCCTCCTTCTGAAATATACAAATCAACTAAACTAAGCCGTTTTCAATGACTTTTCGCTAGCTTGCACTAATGAGCATTGCGAGATGTAGCTGAAAAACTGCGAATAACAAAACGATCTCGAAAGGAAGGTGCGTCCTTTTGACTAAGAAAGCTTAACGACGACATTTTAAGGAAAAAACGATGATAAGTGTCATTGAAGAATAATTCGCCTTAATGTGCTCTTTGAAATTAGAGTTCGACGTTTTGGATGTGCTGAGCAGCTTGAGTTTCGGCATACAGTGCAGACATTTAAACAGCAAAATGTTTGACTTCGTTTCCCTCAGTTCAAAAATAGCACTCAGCTCGGGGGCTATAATGACGGAGTTTCGGTGGCCGTTGCCATCTTGCACGAAACGTGAGTGCGAGATGGCAGTAAAAGGGGCTTTTACAGCAAGCGTTCCAAACCGGCCTTGTTAATTAGAGGCAGACGTTGCATGACAGAGGCAACTGTCCAGCACACAGACTGCTCACAAACAGCACACCTCATAGCCACACCGGCTTTAGTCACAGTCCGGTTTAGGCTACAGAAGCAACGAATTGAGGACACCGATCACTTATTATAACCAAAGAAGATTATTGGTGACTATGAACGAAGTATAGCGCCGGCCATATTTTGGTTATAATAACATGCATACTCGTAGTATCTTTGCCTGTACATATGATTAAAACGACTAAGTTTCTCTTTCACGTCCAAATACTTTTTTTTTTTTTATGCCGGCAGCAGCAAAGTAAGGGCGAAGCAGACGAGAGCCATCACTATTACTGCTACCAATGTGTCTCTCTAGAAGAATGGTACAGTAGCCTTCACACACATCCAGAAACTGCGAGAAAGATAAGGCGGGCGCAGCGTCCAGCAGCAGATAATTCGGTCTTTGAAAGCTAGGGAGTTGAGGGTTAACTGCGAAAGTAAGGTGCCGTCCGTGGTGGTTACGCAGTCTTTCGTCTAAGTTTTTAGGCGCTATAAGAGGAAGGATTCCCAGAGGATTTAGTGGAAGGCGACCTTCTGAACGGGAGTCGTTAACCAGCGAGAGACAGCACCTTTGTACCACGGCGGCAGGGATTCTAAAAGATGATGACGTCTTTCTGGCAATGGACGCCTTTCAATCGTGCGATAACCTTGCCACATTGTTTCGGTTCAAAGCTTGGGAACGTCAACGCTTCCAAATTTAGAGTTTATTCTTTCTGTTGTTGACAGAAAGAAATTTATTTATTTTGTAGAGAAGAATTTGACTTTCTGGAGTAGCTAGAGATGATTAGGCAGAATCCTTCGAGCGGCGAAACTGTTGCCTTCTGAGCGGATGCCTCTTTCCAACGAGACGGCTGCTCCTTCTGGGCACGGCGACGGTGGTCTTAGTAGCTTCGATACAAAGACTGCACCAAAGACTCTTAGAAATTCCGCAAAGTGATTATCTCGCGTCTTTTGGGCCCGGTCGTGGGAACGTTGAATCTGTCTTCCAAGGGAGTTTGAAATGACATCGTTTATACATAGCCTTGTTGGGGTTCCTTTGCCACTTTTTGTAGTGCGCAGAATAAAAATTAGTTTGCTTTCAAACTATCATGCGGCCATTTGTTATGAAAAGTAACGGTTAACGGGTATCGTAATTTGATAAGAGAAAATAATAACGACGTTACTTTACTCGTTAGTCGTTTGGGATTCTAGCGAGTACTTTAATACGTTACTAAAAAAAAACTAACGCGTTATCAGTAACGTAGTTACTTGCAACGCACTAGTTCCAACACTGGCGACTACGCATGCGCCATGCAGACAACGGCGCGACCTACGCAATGTGACGTCAGACACGCGCGTTGGTGTTGTATACAAAGTGGAAGGTTGTCTTCGCAGGCTCTTTCTCTTTCTCTCGTTCTCAGAATAGGGCAAGTCGAAGCTTTGAACACTCGAAGGAATATACAAGCAATATGGCGAGGCTGGCAAGTTAATTTAATATATCGTTTCGTTTTTGGGAAATCAAAGTCTGCGGACCTTCTTGACAACAATAAAGTATACGGTTTAAAATAAAAAAATAATTACAAAGCGAGCCTATTAAAAACAATTACTCATTACGCCACTATACCAAAACTGTTAAGAGAAAAAAAAAACTTTACGACAAAATATATTTTTATTTCAAAATTCAAATCACAACACATTTACTGGTTCAAAGAACAAGAATTGGTGAATGACCGCTAGAGATCCAGTCCGGCTACAAAAATTCACACAGCTGGGACGAACACGCGATTCTTTTCAGTACTAGAAAAACTGCGAGAAAAAACCACCAGTCTTTAGAAACGCAGTAGTATAGACGGTACAACCGAGTCCTTATGGATACGCTGTTCTAGAAAATGTAAGTGTGCTGAAGGCGCATTCGTAATAACGTTGTCGCTCACTCTGCGTCACCTGTATAGTATATAATTGTCAAACCAATACTGCTCTTAGTTGGTCAGGGGTTTACCGTGGTCATCGAAAAGTCCGGAAATGTTGTGCCAAAAATACATTATTTAAAAAAAAAAGGTAAACGCAACACGCATTGTCGTACCTTTTCGATAAATAAACACTGCAAAATAATGAGAACACCTATGCACTTCTTATAAGTTCTGAATACGGAAACATCAATGTAGTTCTTCGCGCCGCGGCCACTTCTGATCCTTTCGGTGGATGTCGCAGCGCCATGGAGAAGGCTTCTTTGTGGAATGGCGATCCTTGAAACTGTGACGCGCGACAGCCAATGGGAGTTTGTCGATCAATTCGCTGCTGCAGATTACAGGCTTCGTCCCACGGGAAAAAGGAATTTAGGGGTTGTTTGGCTCGGCTTCGAAAGCTGATAACGCCGGTTCGCTCCAAGGGACAGTTAATGCTTTCGTATTAAAATCTTCACACTACTCGATATTGAATATGTTTGACCATGCCGTTAACTGCTTTTTCTTGCGAATAATTATGTAGTAGTAATGAATTATGCCAGGATTTGATCGGAATTGTTTTGTTTGCTAGATAAATGCTAAAATTTACCAAGCTTCTATTATGGCATCCTCGGGTTTTAATCAAAACTATTTCTTACAAATTCCTCGTTTCAATTTCAAATTGCTTCTGTTTTGCTTGTATTGTAACATTGCTTCTGTTTCTCCTGCGGTGTCTATTCAATGATGCTGCCATCTTATCTGATAAATCCGCAGCAATGGCGTGATAACGCTCGAGACCAGTGAAGGATATAACACCAAGAATCTGATTGTGCTCCAACCCGAAGGTCGTAAGTATCCTTTCGTTGACTATGAACATCCTCAACGTGTTTCAACAAAGACTCTAGAAAAAAAAAATAGAATGATGAAAAAAGAAAAAAAAAACGTTAAACAGTGCCATCTAAAGCGGACGTCAGGCATTGCAAAAAAACAACAACAACATACTATTTAGCTACGTAATAAACTAAACGTAATGATTATACTTTTTCATTCGTTAAAATAATCATATGATTCAAATTAGAAACTCTGAACATCTTTGATAACCACTAAATCAACTCATACTAGAAAGATATCAAGCAAATACTTCATTTGACAAAGTTAAAAAAAAATTAAAAAAAAAAAAAGCGTTTAGCTTATACGCGTTTTTAGGTTGCGTTTTTTTTTTATCTCAGCGCACCTTTGCGGCAGCAGCCGTGACCGAAGTGCGAAGCTATACCGCCTCGCCTCCCTCGTAGGACTGAAGGAACTACAGGGCACGTGCGAGTCGCGTTTCGGCCTCCTTGGGGCTAGAGCGCATTCGCAAAGATGCACTCACATAGAAAACCGAAACCTAAAAACTCGTCCAAGCTGAGCGTTCTTTTCGAAACGGCGTAATATGCTGCATCTGCCATGCATCTTCCTGAAATCAGTTTATATTGTGGTTTTCGACAATGCTCAGCAGGTTTCTAATTGGAAACGTAAGTTTCTATTTACTAAGTAAAAAAAAGTTGATCAGTATATTTTAGTTGTTCAATTATTTAATTAGCATGCTTTTTAATCCCCGACGTCCACAGTAGCTGGCACTTTGTTCTAAAAAAGATTGCCTATATTTTATTGTCAACCGCCCTAATTTGAAGGACTTTTCGATACCTTCGCTGAAAAAAAAACAATAATAGTGCAGTAAAAGTAAAACGAAAATGTTGAGATATTTACTTAAAACTTGTTTGGACTCGAACGGACAGCTGTTTATTAACAATATTCCCAATACATTCTGCATTTAATTTCTGAGGAGCATATCTTCAGATTCGAGAAGTCATTTGCTCAAGCGATGAGCGCTCACTCAATCTTGCCTGTTATCAATTTGTACATTACAGAAGACCAGTCATTAACCTTATTCGTGTCTTACCTGGATCCTGGGAAATGCGGTGTCAACAGGAATCTCTACGTTGACGGTACGACTGCTTTTGAACATAACTCTTTTTGTTAAGAAAGAGCTTGCGAACTTCTTTAGATAGATCTATATCTCTATACAAAAAAATATAATTCTAATTGCAATAAATTTTTTTAGAAAAAAAATAAAGACATGTGTTACATGGGTGCAGTGTTCGCACTGTAATTATCAAGTTGGGCTGACATTAGGTAAAAAAAATAACCGTCATAGTTAAGTAATGAACTAAAATGTGTTAATTAATTTTTAATTATAGGTTTATGGATCATGTTGCGTACTTGCAGTACATTGACGGCAGTTAATACTAAAGGGTGAATTAACTTTAAAAAATTGAAAGAAGACAAGGTTTTTTCTAGATACTACTCTATCATTTTTCGCATTTTATTTTCTTCCAAGTTTAAAACTCCGTGCAAAACGTGGGCCGTAAGCCAAGTCCACAATGAAGCTTGGAAGAGTGACGTGGTCACTTGAAAGATGTCGTCACTATCCCGGCAGCGCGTCATTGGGTCATGCGCCACCGACATACTACCGATATATGGACGACGTGATTAAAGAGGCTACGTCTGTCTTCAAACAGTATTCTAGGCAAGCCTGCGAAAGCTATTTATAGCTGAATTTTCGAATTAGGGAAGAGAAAAACGCTGCAGCTGATTGATAAGTTTACCTCAAACAATTACCCTTTTCCAGAATCTTGGAATTCCTCTTGCCTCTGCTAGTAATTGCCATCAATACTGCAATTTACCCAGATCAATCACAACAGTAATTCAAATGTTAGTGACCATATTTCAGTTAATTAGCCAACTTACTGTATCGGTATATAGCACCCAGGTAACTCTCACTTATTGCTTTATAAAACAAATGTTTGATTTAAGATCAAGCACTCTGTGTATCAGACCGCAAGCCATATCCTCCAGGAAAGTAAATGGGAAGTTAATCTGAGGAAGCTTTGTGGCGTTCAAAATCCAAAAAGAGTGAGAGACAAAAAGATACATACACAGTTACACCATCACTGAGACCCCTGCAAAACCACCTAGTAAAAATGTATTTTTCATTGTTTTGTGAATGTATGTACAACATGTCCCCCAAAAGAGCTATACACCAAAATGGCGTGTAAAAACAGCAACCTGACCTATCAAGCTGTAACTATCCTCAATTACTATTTTACAGGCTAAATTAACATACTCAAATTTAAACTCTGTACTCCCAATAGACCTGAAGTGATAATTCAAAAAGCTGACTTTTTCAATGGAGATCGAGAGACGGCCTTGTTTGCCCAGCTTATTCAGAGATGGCGCCACCATTGTCGGCAAGTTCAGGGGAAAGCAAGCACTGGGGGATGCTGGACGCCACTAAAACGGGCGGAGATACGCCTCGCGTGTCTCTTGAGACCAACAAAACTGCAAAAGCATATGCAGAAAGCAAGAAACCATTGTTATTCAGAGAAAGTGATTGGTAGAGCAGCATTTAGCGTCTTTATTTATAACTCACCTACTTGGCACTCGCCGTGCTGAACACGAGAGCATAGAATGCATTTCTCAGCTTGCTTTTCCGTAAATATCGGAAATACGAACCGAAACGCGCGCTTGGAACAAAGAATTCTATGCGAAGTCCGGCACCCCGTACCACTGCTCCGCTTGCGGGCATTGGTGGTGCCATCTCTAAATAAGCTGGGCAAACAGCCGCTGTTTGATCTCCTTCCGAGAGCTGCCACTCCACAATTGTAGTCTTTGAATTATAATTTTAGTTCTATTGGGGGTAGGGAATCAGCAAGTTGGTATGTTAATTGGACTAGTAAAATACATCTTTGAAGAAGGATACAACTTGATATGCCAAGTCGATGATGTTTACGGGCCATTTTGGTGTGTACATTTTATTTTGGGACACACTGTATTTTGAAAATGTGTCTCTTTGTTACGCATTGTTTTACCGTGTGACCCCCTCCTCCCCCCCCCCCCCCCCGCCTCCACCCCCACACACACATAAACACAGCATAATACCTAAGGGTGCAACAGGTTTTGAGTAGTGCTGCATTTTCTACGTTACTTGCTGAAACTCAGGACGGGTCAGAGATAAAACGAATGCTGCGCTAGTGTTCGGTTGGGAGCTAGCCCTCTCCTGGCTGATTGAACGCGAGTTTCATCCGATTGGCGACCTAGCACTTGTGTCCAATATGCTCCCAGCCCTGGCCGTCAGTAGATTATGTACAAAATTCAGCCCAATGGTTTTCTATCTAGGTTTTGCTGAGATTTGAGTATTTATGTATCTTGCTATTTAATGCGTTACAAACAAAACAATGCTTATATCCTGGTTAAAAGTTCTCTGACTCCATATTGTGTTTTAAAAAAAATTCATTGATAAATGGCCTAATTTGCACACAAAGGTTTGGAGCACTGTGTCTCAGACGTGTGATAAAGAAATATTTATTGTCGCAGAGCCTGTTAGGAAACATCGCAATTTTGGTTATTCCACCCGTCTTATGTTAAATTCATAAGTACTTTTCAGCGGAGTATACTCAATAAGCTTGTTTACCCCAAAAATATAGAGTAGGTGGGAATGACAACGAGTATGCCGAAGACAAGGTTAATAAAGAAGGAGCTGGTTAACTTTACGGATGATTCTAACCAGAGACGGCGGACAACAAAGGGGACAAAGAACGAACACTATGCACTGTTAGTCCTTCAGTGACATGGTCTATATGAAACACAGCATCTACCTGTTCATTTCTGCTTGAAGGGCGCACGGGTTAGGAGGTGACATGAAGAAAAGCAAAGGTTAGCGGCATATACTCGAAACACATAAGTTAGTTTTACATAGGGCAGTACAGACATTCAGTGAATGTCCAGACAATGTCTAACATACATTTTCTATCACTGCAGAAACTGCATGCACTGTCTTCGTTCCCGAGAGTCAACTGGGAAAAAACACTACCTGCTGCGATTTCGTGTACGACCTGCTGTGTGGTACCACCAAGCACCAGATCTATGACAGCAGTTGTGATAAGCAAGGCAAATGAAAGAACTTCTGTAATGACGCTCGTAAGGATAACTCTGATCGATTCTTAAGAAAATATTGAAACTAATGTGTTAGCCTCAGTCTGAAAAGTGCAAAACAAAAAAAAAACATTGTTGTTTCACAACCACAAATTGGAGTAAAGATACTTTTAAAAAGCTCAAGATACGTGTAAATAAAAAAAATGACAGGCTGTTTTTTATTTGAAATTTTTAACACACAATATAATTTTGGTTGTAAGGTGGTGGGAACAAACTACAAACTAACTGCATGCAAAAACTAATAAAATGTTTGATATGCTGTTCATGTTTCAATTTTGTTAGCGTGAGTTGGGTATTATGTTCAGCTCGTCGTATACCTCCCCCCCCCCCCCCCCCCGCAATGAAAAAAAAAAAGAAAAAGAGGCCACCAAGGTTGGGGACTATACAGAGCAGCACGCCGTTTACAAACAAGTCCGCGTTCGCCCACACTAGGTGTGGGCACTGCGCGGGCGCTGATAACAGGTAACCAGATTCGGGTGCGAGAAAGCGTCTGCGCACGCGCAGCCCCAACAGCAGCGCCGACGCAGCGACGTGACGCCATAGAGATGAGTTGGCGCATAATCCGCAGGTGAGCAACCAAGATATAATTGCGATGCTATGTGCTCCCGTGAGTGCCTTCAAGCGAATCTTCTGAACGGCGAGAAAGTTTCGGCTTTCTGGGGTGCACAGCTTCCGAACTTGAAACGACGTTCAACCTCCTAACGACGGTCACAAGAAAAAAAATGCCGTCGATTGTAGGAAAGCAAAGCATGCGCCGCTTTCAGACCAAAAAAAGATTGGAGCTGAACTATTATTTTTAGCCCCACACTGGCGTATGCACCTTGCCGCGCCATTTCTGTAACCTTCAGCCTTAGATGAGTTGAAGGTAGTTCAAGTGTCAGCTTTAGCTCATTTATCTTTATAATTCACCAACCTCACATAAAAAACTGAGAAATATCGTTTTATAAATACCATAAACATCAACAGAAGTATCGCATATGGAATAATAAAACAAAAACACTTTATTTTAGTGCAAGAACGTGGTTTTTCGTCCTCGTGTGTTTCAGAAGTTGTATCTGCTCTATTAGCCGGGTTGAACATTGCAAGCTCAGGAAACAATTAACAAAAACAAATCATAATGCCTTGAAATCTACAGTAGTGAATATTTTAAGACGGTATTGCTAGATATTTCGAATAAATGAATACAAAATAATGTTTTAAACAAAATGGAAATGCCAAGGTTAGAGACGATGGAGGAGTCGACTGCTGAATCCACGCGCAGTTGTTTTGGCCACGTGTGAATACGTATAAGTTGAATTATATTTATATTTATTCGATTATTTCTTAAACCATACAAAGGGCTTATTTACACAACCGCTTTTTTTTCTCGTCCCGTCATTGTCCCAGCATAGCAAGGGTTAAGATACTACGATAAAATTCAAGCCAATTATCAAGCTCTTTTTCGGGCAGAAGTAGGAGAGAGCGCTCACGTTACTTTCGTTCCAACGAGGTCATATAGAAAGCTAGATGTACCTCTGAGCCTGAACAAAGTGATGAGACCACGCAGGACCCTTCGAAAAACGTAATTGTGATATGAAGGGCAGCCACCGAAAAACTATATGATCTGAGATCACCGACTTATTCTTGTCACGACATCTGTAGTGGCATTATACATAAAAGTATAATTCGCTATTTTAAGTGTGGTTAAGTGCAAATTAAAGTAGCCACCACGCTCTCGAGTGAATTGAAATAGCTTTTGCCGTTGAAGGCGAAGTTTATTAGAGTAATCTTTATTAAATGCAAGGTCGAAACAGAATCTTTGCACATGTACAAATATTTATTAAACAATGTATTTATATAATATTTGACATATTCAAGACGAAACAAAAATTCCGCCGCGCGCCCTTACAAATGAGTAGTTTTTTTTTGTTGTTGTTGCAGTCTTTGATGCATCGTGCACATACTTTTTCTCGCAGTCACATGGCGGTAACTAAAAATTTTATAAAATACTATCGAAAGATGTGACTATTTTCATCTCACACCAAGGTTACGTTTCACTAAAGTAGCAGTGCATCCGACGCTGCAAGCTATAGGACCAATCAAGCACTGCTGAAAACAAGACGTACCAAGGGCTGTCGCCAACATTTTTTGGTATGTTATATCTTATAATTAGATTTGGAATTGGCGGGACAAAATTAGTGCTGACATCGAGGCAAAACGGAAACAGGAATAATAATAATATTGCTTTATTTAATTTGTGCCCCAGAACAACCAACAGGTTATAATGTGGTGCAGCCGCATTATAACCCATTGGAATAGCCAAAACGTCGGGATACTTTCCGTGGCTATGTACGCTTCCGTGTGTACGCACAGGGTGATTACCAGCGTTGCAATATGTATTCATCGTTTATAATTCCAAAACACACGTTCTACTCTTGGAGGCTAAAGAAAGTGATCAGAAACATCCTCTGCGTTTGTTTCCTTAGGCTGTGCCTTTCCTCTTAAAGTCGGAGAACGATCGCTCTCCACTTCCACAAAGACAAGCGCCACAAACCCGAGGGCTTGTTTGACATCCAAATCATAAATGCCAGTTAAAGTTTTTTTTTGTGATTGTACCCATTCTATGTCGGGATTTTTCGCAAGCGACTTGCGAAGTTTGTCTTTCTCAGAGCTGTCCAACAACGACGCGCTAGCAGGAGCGCGCGCGGAAACGGCGGCGTCTCGCCAGAAGCTACCCTAGAGCCGACTCGTCGGCGGCAACCATTAGGAGGGTGGGCGGCACTATTGGTCGGTGGCGTTGTCTATCCGGCGCTTTAGAGGGCAGGGAAGACAGCGGATGCGGGTTTGACGCCGTTGAAGCCTTTGGCGGAAGAACGCCTGGCTGGCTCGCCGATGCAAAAAATATTATCGGTCGTGTAAAGGCTCACTGTATACGTGCGTTTGAGCTAACTAACTGGACACTTAATGGAAGATCAAGAAGGTATTGAATCCTTCGGGACACGGAACGTAAAATCGGGAAAATTCGGGACAACAAAGTTGATGAAAACGAAAGGAAAATTACTTGATCGATGTGTACTAATAGCTGACATTGATACCGGGACACGTTTCCGAATTGGGGCATCTTCCCGAAATTCCAGCTCTACTTATAACCAGGAAGTCTAATCAAGCGCAGAGGTGCGTCGGAACCAAAGAGGTACAGCGTGATACAGTGGTATCCCGTTCACCAGGCAAAAGTAGCCCTTACTTGGCTGCCGCCATGTTGTACAATTTTGACCACTAAACAGCCGAGATTTGTATTGTCCTGTAAAAAAAACATGATAACCTATTTTTTTCAATTTTGTTAGACCCAGAGGGTAGTGTCTAGTTCCGATGAAACCTCAGAATACAGCACCGCGACTGACGGCATCTAGCGGAGGCATTGCAAAGTTGCCCGAGTTTTTGTCGTAAAAGCACAGTTTTGACTTAAAACAAACGAAAAATAACTTATCTCGTTGGTACTGTTGTAAAGATCAATAAGACATTATTTGTGCGCGGTACTTCGTTAAAATCAAGACGTAAAACTATAAGGTCACTTGTCTAGTAGTCAAAAATGTGCAACATGATGGCGGCTCATTGGAGGTGACTTACAGGTGCCAGCTTATCACTCTAAGGCCCTCTGCCTTGTTGGTCGGAAGCTTGCGTTATTATTTGATGCCAGTGATGGGCCAAGCTGTTCGCGAGCCGCACACAGCTCTTCAGAGTTCAAGTGTGGCTCGAGGCTCCCTGGCAAGCGTACTCCTCTTTTACCCCCGCGGTCCAGCAAAAAAAAAAAAAAGAAGTTCTAGAATTCAGACAAAAACGAAAAAAAGAACTCACGGTCTTGGAAGCCTTGTACTGCCCAACGTACATACAACTAGACCGCTTTTTGACACTTAGGTGTGTTCGTTGACATTGTTTCCTTTATTGTTCTAGAAAAAATGTTGAAACGTATGCGCATAACAGGCGTCAGGGGCAGTGGCTGGCTAGCGAACCATGCATTTATTGTTGCTTAGCGGTTGAAAAAACGTTCTGTTGCCTCGTGTTAATTGTTATAGTCGACGATTATACTTGTCCCCCTTGGAAAGGACTGTTCCCTCCCCATCCGTATCGTTTCTTGTTAAAAGTGTCTCCCTCCCCACCCACCCCCTTTTTTTTCTGCGGCCCTCTGAACTTTTTGCAGTTTTTTCTGCAGCTCTGATTCCATGTGACTCTGGCCACCTCTGGTCCACGCCTTCTCTGAAAACCAGTATGAGGGCCCGGAACGCTAGAGGCACACGCCTATATATTTGTGTAGCGATTTCCAGGCTCGAGTTTTGTACATTTTTCTGACAAAGGGAATAGGAGCCAAAGAGTCAACTGCGGGATAATAGAAATTTAATTAACTTTTATGCTGTTTTTATTGATGTTTACAAAAATATATACAACGAAAAGCTCTCATACATATATTGCACGTGTGTTAAAGAATTCTTCATAGTACCACTTCACTAAAATTATCTGAGTGAACAAACGGTCACAATATCTGTTGAGATAATTTTGTCAGGGTTTACATTTTGTATAAATTTGTCCGGGATCATTTTGTGAGAATATTTTGTCCAGCAACCGCTCGTCGTAGAGGTATATTAAGGCCTCGGTTTGTTCGCAAAGCGAAGGTTCGAATTTCAACGTACACCGGGCCTAAACGGTACGAAACGGTTGTGTTTTGTTTTGTTTTGTTTCGTTAACGGAAATAACAATAAGAGGTATATGCCTCGTTATAATTTGCATCTTTGCGCGTTGTTAAGGGCTCGGGGACGGACAGGCTAGAGACCGGGTTTGGGCTGTAAGATGATGTTTGAATGAGACATGATTTGTTGGAAGCGTTCGGTGGTAAGTCCCATTCCGTCTTTGCCGCGCGTGTCCGGGAGTCCCCTTTATATAGCCGTGGTGACAGAACGATATGGCGTCACCGACGACATCCTGGTGTGAT